CGTATGCTTGCAAGGGGTGCAAGCGATCCTCGACGTCCAATACATATGAAAAGCTGTACACACGGCCGCACCCACATACAAACACGCACACATGGACCCACCGACCACGGAGCACGAGCGAGGCCAGAGAGTCCCCAGCTGGCTCCTTTTTTTTTCTCGCCTTTTCACGCACCACATGCGCCCTCGACGCGGCCGTGCTCTTGTGCCACGGGTCGGGGCTCAATTCGGCAGCTGAAGCGAGCCCAGCCTGCTGCAAATGCGGACGAGCGGAGTTCCTTAGGCAGCTCTAAGCGAGAATTTCCCGCCCAATTTCAACGTTTTTCGAGGAAACCAGCAGCTGCAGCTCCCAATTTGGCTTGGGCGCGCACCCAAAAATGCAATTCGTGTTAGACCGACCCAAGCTGTCGTGCGACGCTCGAGCCCCTCTTGTCTTGCTCATCTGCCGGCACAGACACACACCCCCCATCCAACTACACACGCCGCCGCGCCGACCGAGATTCGAGTGGGATGGGATCAACATGGCATTTTCACAGCAGACGCTCGCGCACTTCAGTCCGAGTCCGAATCCGAGCCGCTCTCGTCCGACGAGCTCTCCGAGTGCACCAGATCGTCGTGACCGCCCGCCGCTCCTCCGCCCGAGCCCATGGCATCCGGATTGCCAAACTGCTCCAGCTGCTGCTGCAGCCGCGCAATCCGCTCCGCCTCCTCCCCCTCGTCCAGATTCTTCTTCTTGATGCCTCCCGTACCGCGCTTGCGTCCGTCCAGCGGCGCCGACTTGCTGTTCTTGTTCACCGCCGCCGCCACCTTCTTGGGTCGCACCACATACTTGTACAGCTTGTACAGCGTCTTGGCCGACAGCTCGTCAATGTCGAGCTCAATCTCCTCCTCGTCGTTCTGGTTCGGCGGCTTGTCCTCGTTGATGATCCGGATCGCCCCGTCCAGACGCTCCTCGCTCAGCTCCGTGATCTTGGCCGCAAGCTCCTCCTTCTGCTCGTACGTCACCGTGCGGATGTCCTCGTCGCTGTTGTCGTCGCGCCGGCTCGACGTCGCCTTCTTGGCGCTGCCGCTGCCGCTGCCGCTCGACGCCGCCTGCTTCTTCTTGTTGCCCGCTCCCGCCGCCTTGGCCTTCTTGGCTGGCACGTACTCGGCAGACGCAGACGCCGCCGCCGCTGGACTGCTCGCGCCCTTGGCCTTGCTCTTCTTGCGGTTCGCCGCAGCTCCGCCCTCCGACGCCTTCCGCTTCGTGCCGGCGCCGCCCTTGCTCTTGCTCTTCTTTGAGCCGCCCGAGCTGGCGTAGCTCTCCTGCAGCGACGCCAGCATGGCCTTGGTGTTGGCGATCAGGTCGGCGTTCTGGTTCTTGGCGCCCTCGAGCATGGCCAAGGTGCTCGCCAGCTGCGAGATCTGCGCCTGCAGCGTCGCCAGAAACTCGGGATCCACCTCGTCCTCGTCCTCGTCCGCATCCTCGTCCTCGTCCACGTCGCTCTCCTCGTAGTCGGGCAAGGGCGCCGGCGCGGGCTTGCGCGCCATCTTGTCCTGGTACACCGACTTGAGCTGCTCGCCCATGTTGTGCACGTCCGAGCCCGGGGGGTTGAAGGTGAAGCAGTTCTGGAAGAGCAGCTGCATGTCGGCGTTGAACTCGTCGGCGTCGGCGTACACGCCCGAGCGCACGTTCTTCTGCACGTCGCGCAACGCGATGGGCTTCTTGATCATCTGGAAGTACGCCGGGGCCCAGTCAAAGTCCATGGTCGGCTTGTCGTAGAAGACCCAGGCGACGTTCGAGTAGGTGGGCTTGAGCAGGTCGTCGATGACGCGCGTGCAGAAGCGCAGCTCGTCCTGGGCCACCTTTGCGTAGTGCGCCTGCTCGCGAGCCGAGAGGCTGCCCGCCTTCTTGGCGAGCTTGCGGCGAGCTGCCTTGCGCTGCTCGGACGACGAGGCGCTCTGGGGCTCGCTGGCCCACGGCAGATCCTTGGGCGGCGGAGGGTGGATCTCCCGCTTGGGACGGCCGCCGACGTCGGAAGACGAACGTCGGATGGTGGGCACCGGGTTGGAAGGACGACGAGCGCGTGCGCCGCCGGCGTCGGAAGACTGTGCGGATACGGCGGCGGCTGCTGGGAGGTCCTTCATGTACTTGTCGAACGCGGCCTCCAATACGCGAGCGTTGTGGGTGTAGGGGCTGTCTGGGCCGTTGAAGGTGGCGCAATTGAAGAAGACCTGGCGCACGTCTGCCTCGAAGTCTTGGACGCGGCGATAGACGTCCTTGGCCGGGTCTAGGCCCCATTGGGGAGCCGACTTTGCCTTGTCGCCTGGCTTCGAGTTGGGACGGAGGACGAGGGCGGTGAGTGCGAGCTTGATGTCGATGGTGCCAAAGTCCATTGGCTTTGTGATGATGTCCGGGTACTGGGGGATGCCGAGAGCGACGGGGTCGACGGGCTGGAGGAATGCGATTGCCTCGCGTCGACTCTTGAGCGACTTGAGGGTGCTCTGGGCGAACTTGAGCTGGGCGGGGGTAACATCGATGGGGCCGTCGTAGGGCTTGACATCGACGTTGTTGGAGTTGGCCGGGGGTGGGTGGTGCGGAGCGGATGCCGTTGTCGCTGCTGCTGCTGCTGGTACATCGTTGGTGTGAGGCTGATGGGACTGCACTTCGGAGAGGAGACCGGCGGGCTGGATGCCAACGCTCGAGAGGGGCTCTGCTGTAGGCGGCACGACGGTGGAATGGGGATGTTCTAGCTTGGGTGGGTTGAAGCTCGCTTCTGTCTTGGGCGGCAGCTCTGTGTTAGAGGAGGTGGCGAAAGCATGGCCGTTGACCTGCTGGGAGTGGAATGCGTCCGACATGGTTCTCGGGAGTGCAGCGATGACTGAGCAAGCGTCACTTGCAGCGTGCGCGTGTGCGAGTGCGTAGGTGTGGCGGTGACGGTGGTGGCAGATGCGTGAACGGTGCGAGCGGATGGATGGTGGAGGGTGGTGATGACGCTGCGGATGAGGTGATGAGCGGATGGATGGATGCGGGAAGAAAGAGAATGGAAGCGCGCCTGACGTGTCGGTCGGTCGGTCGGTCGGTCGGTCGATCTGGCCTTTAGCTAGCTAGCTGCCTTTTGGGGGGGGAGCGACAAATCAAAAGGGAAGAGGCAAAGTCGAAAACGCGTCCAGTAGAAATACTTGGCCGAGCCGCCCTCTCGACGCGCAGCACACCAGCCGATTCCCACCCCTTCCGCACGCGAACGCCGCGCGACCGCGCTGAGCATTTTGTTCGAGTCTAACAGCTCAGCTTCCGATTCCTCCACCGTGTTGGATTCATGCCTATAACATGCAGCCCACTCCAAATCGTGACTAGGCTCGGCGACCACCACCGCCAGTGACGATTGAATGACTTTGGCTTGCTGGCAAAAATGCAGCCTTCCTCTTGCCGGCAAAAGAGAGCCGAAGGCGACGCATGACCGCTTCCGCCGCTTCATCCTCCTCGTTTCCATGCACGAGTGTACTGTACAGTACTGTATTGTTCATGCATAGCTTGTCACAGTGGCTGCCGTCACAGCGTCTACTCGCCCGGTCGTCTGCTTCCGTCGGCGGTGGTTGGCAATGCACAAAATGAGGCAGTTTCCTCTTTTTCCTCTCTTTTTCTTTTTGCATTCCCAGTGAAATGACGCGCGGAGGCCGTTTTTGGCGGCCACTGCAAATCCCACAAATTCCGCACGGCGACGGCGACAGCGGCGGCAGCGGCAGAGCGAATCGTTTGGGCTGCAAATCCGCAGTCGGCAGTTTGAACATCACTCATTGCATTCTTCCGTCAACACCAACCATCGTCTCGCTTTTGCGTGCTCTCTCCTTTCCACCACCACCACCACCCTCCTTTCCGCCATCGGTATCTCCCCTCAGCCTGCTCTGCGTGCGGCGCTGATAGGCTTCCACCATTCCAGGTCTTGGTAGCTGTTCGCATCCAGCACTCGGACCTGTGATCCAACACCATCGTCTTGTACCACCATCGCACCTCGCACTCCGCACTCCGCACTCGGCTGGCTCGCTCGCCTGCATGACCACACCACCGCCCCCGCCGCCTCTCCTTCTCCTGACATGGGCGTGAGTGCGGTCATCCGCGGAGGCTTCGGCTTCCTCCTCGACCGCCACCATGACGTGCACGTCTCCACCAACAACAACATCAACGTGACCCCCACCAACGCTCTCCACTCCTTCTTCCGCCGTCAACGCGAGGCGCCACTCCCCATCACCCCCGTCTCCATCCTCAAGTCCATGCTCCAGCTCGACGACCTCCAGGCGCTCCTCTGGGCCTGGACCATCGTCGCCATCCTCCTTCTCTTCGCCTTCTGGACCAACCCCAACGAGGCCTCCTTCCGCCCCTTCCTCACCGACCTCGTCTTTCGCCAACGTCTCCGACTTCTCAACGAGGACGACGACGCCGCCCTCGCACAATCATCCTCGTCCCAACATCCTCCCGCCGCACCTCGCTCCGACTCCAGACCTCACTCCTCCCTCCTCGCAACCGCCTCGGGCTCCTCGGCTCCTTTCGCTCTCACCTTTGGCTCCAAGCTCGCCCTCTCGGTGCGCACCCCGCCCTTTCACCGCAAAGATCTAGGCCTCCTATCCATTGTCACCATCTCCCAAAGCACTCCCATATCCACCTCCACTCCACAGCCAACCAATGCCGACGCTGCGATCGACTGCACCTCCCTCTTCATCGGAGCTTTCGGAAAATGGTGGGTTCTCGGCTTCGCCATCCCTGATCTCCCTGGCGCAAGGTCGCGCTCACCTCACCCTACCGACAAACCCGACCGCGAAGAGCTCGAGGAGAACATCACCGATCTCGCAGACTGGGGCGTGCTAGAGATGCGCGCCATCGACTCTGAATCCGATTCGCACCACACTCTCACCCACCCCAACAACACCCCTTCCGCCCAAGATCCGCCAAAGAATCACCAACCTCGCACCACTCCTCCCGTCCAGCCGCCCGCTCCAGTCGTCCATCCATCCCATCCAGCTCAAAAAGACCTCGTCGACCGTGACACGCTCGAGAACGAAGACTGCCTCAGCATCACCAGCCTCGTCGCTAGGTCGCGCTCCGAGGTCGCCGACCTCCACGACCAGCTCGCTCAGGTCCGCAGCGCTTCCACTCGCGCGTGTCAAGCACTCGAGCACGATCTCGACCAAGTCCGCTCCAAGAAAAAGGAAGAGGAAAGACTGAGATCCGACGTCAAAACAAGGACAAAGGCCTTGGACGACAGCAAGAGGCAGGTCGAAAGCGCCAGGCGCGAAGCAGAGAGACGCCTCAAAGCCGCAAACGCCGCCCGTGCGCTCAAACAGGCTAGCATCCAACAGAGGAAGGAGCAGATCGAATCCCTCAAGAAGCGTCGCGCCAACCTCGTCGCAAGGAAGGCCACCAACGCAGAAAAGCGCCAGCAACGTTCCGACGAGCTTTCCCAGCTCATCAGCCAGGCAAAATCCAACACCGACATGCTTCGTGCAGACATCCAGAATCTGCAGCAGGAGCTCGACGAGGCCCACAACCTACTTCAGCTCGAGAAGCTCAACGCTCGCCACGCCCACGAACACGACTTTTCGCGGGACGCTGCGCACCTCGACATGCATGCACCCTACTGGTCGCCCGCATTGGAGCAGAGTCAACTCGACAGGCAGGACGCCATCTATGCTCAACTCGCCGCCACGCCCGATCCACTCGTCGACACCCTCGCCCGCATGGAAGAGCGCTCGCTCGCCGCCAACCAGTACTCCCCATCGCTCCTCGACGCCGAGTCCGCCATCTCGATCAACAAGCTCCAGACGGCTCGCATCGATGGATACGCTGACCTCGGCACTAGCGTCCTCCGCAACGCCTTCCGCCGCGCAAACGCCGCCGCCGTGGCAGACGGACACGAAACCTTGGCCACGGCGCCTCAGGGCCTCGCCAATCCTTCCTTGCAGAACGTCTCCAACTTTGAGGCCATCAAGCAGGCCTTCCAACCCACGCTCGCCACCGAGGAAGATGGACGACGCTCTTGGTCTGCCTTTGACGTCTGGCAATCCGATCTCCGCAGTGGCGGCCGACAGCGCATGCAGTGGTCCTCAGGCGGCGCCAACGCAAGTGCCGACTCCTTGCCCCACTTCAGCACCAGCAGCTCCTTCCTGCCCCTCGATCGAAGCAACAGCGCAGAGCAAGGCGCCCCATCCTTTGCCGGCTCCGCCAGTCCAGACAGCTCGCGCAACTTGTCCAAGGTCAAAAGGGCTTTCCGCTGGCCCTTCCGACCCAGTCAGGTGCAGGATGATCTGGTCTAGACACCTGCACGGCCGCAATGCTCCGCCCTCGTCCGTAGCTCCCGGGGCCTCGTCGCCGCCAATGTCCTTTGTGCTGCTCTTGGATGCGTTTGAAATGCCATGCGATGTTTGGCTATGGAATCCCCTTGGTTCCGCGTCATGTCCGTGTTGAGGTCCTTGGCGCAAAACGAGTCTGCTAGAAGCGTCATCAGGCGTGAGAGCTCTGCTGAGATGGATGCTGCTTTGCCCATCGAGGCTCCTCTCGCTCCTCTCGCTGTGCGCACAGATATGATGAACAATAAATCTTGGTCAGCCGAGCCACTGTGAATCGCCGTGCATCGACTCATAACAGTACAAGTCGCGACTCTGATCAGGTGTCCTAGCGGTAGTCTCGGAGAAGATGAATGTGCAGGTGGGTTCCTCATCGTGCCCAAGCACCCGGGCTGCGTAGTGGATGGATAGCGCTACGCATCGGAAAAGCCATAATGCATCAGCCAGTAGCCAGCTAGGTGGGCGTGTTGATGCAGCTACCGGCAAAGCATACTGGTTGGCATACCTGGTTGGCACTGTGGCCAAGTATGAGTCTTGGAGCAGTGGCTGAGACAAGACGTCCCGATGCACATAGCGCACATTCAGATAAAAAGTTCGTGATTTTTGCTTCGTTCCCTTGATTCTTGACACATCGCCGCGTCAAAAGTCGCATCAGAAAAGTGGCGATATTCACATGTATTACATGCCAGGAAGCCATCCCGAGTGGCAGTTCACAGTCACGAATTTAAGCAGCTTTGAGTGGGTTCCTACCACGTCCAGAGACGCACCCGGCCATTCGTTTCAGATTGGGCTACAAACAGCAACAGTTTAATTCAGAAATTGCAGGGCTTTCCAATGCATAAATGCAGTAAGGCAGCCTTGTCCATGTCGATCACACTCTTTGTTACAACGAAACATGATTCGGAAATCCATGTCTTGTAACCATGGTTTCATGCGCCGTTCCATGCCTGGCGATCAACCCTTGCCCAGTCTTGCATGTAGAAGGTGCGTAGACAGGAAACGTGACGTGCGAATACTAAGCAATTACACCGAGGGGGAAACTCCAATGCCGATCGATGCGTTGGATCCGAGACGCGTGAAGCTGACTCACGCTATTTTCGATGATCCATGTCTTGGACAATTTCACACGAGCATTTTTCCCTGGAGACTCTGGGATCCACAAGAAGATGACAACGAAGAAAAATTAAAGTCATTGACAAACTCCTTGTGGGTCCATGTTTCAGAAGAGGAAACGCGAGTCATGATTTTGCGAGATCATGATTGGAATCGCGAAAAAGGCTGGCTCCACTGAGCCGCTAGAATTGCCCAATCTACGAACCCCATATTTGAGCCTCCCGACTAAGCCAAGCTGGTCACGTAACCGCGCCGGCTTGGCTTCGCTGCTTTTCCTCTTCCTGAATGTCTGCAGGTTGGTAGATACGAGGCGGAGCAATCCTACAAGCACGGGACAAATCAGAAAATGCCGAAAAGAGTTGGTCGCGACTGCACAGAAGGGCCCCAAATGCCCGACTCAGAGATTCACGATTTATGATATTTCAAACCACACAGTTCTCGAGGCCGAGCTGTACCTAAATTATCAGTGTCATGCGTCATGCATAAAGGGATGTCTTGGCAGGTCAGCCATCACGATTTATGATCCTGATTCTTCCTTCATGTTCGGTGGATTAATTCCGTCGACTTGCTCGAGCCTTGAGGCGGGATTACGTAGATTGAATGACGGTGTAAATTTCTTCTGAAGCTCCCAACGTCACCAGAAGCAGCAAGACAGGCGTCCGGGCGATCATACTATTTTAATATCTTGGGTTTCACCAATGGGCCTGTTTCGGTATTGGGCCACGCGCATTGATTCGTGCTGAATCATGTGTAGATCTGTTTCCCAGGCAGACTCACATCTCCGTGGCTCCAACCACACGTGGGCTCATATGTATCCTCCGGCTTGCCACACCAACATCGCATCAGAAAATTTATGAGCTTGCAAGTCATAAATTTTGTCCAATGAGTGAAACATGGATCAGGACGTTTTTGCATTCGCATGATTTTCGATTTGAAGTTGGCTCATGGGGCAAAAGCGCTGAAACAACCTTCTAACGTCTGTATTCGGGAACGTCGGAAATGTGGATATTGCTCACAGCCGCGTTCGATTGGGAATTGAGCGAGAAGGGTTGTTGGAAATCATAAATGCGACGCATTATCGGTACAAACGGAATGGGAAAGTACGGGCAAAAAATCCTTTTTTGCTCTTGTAGTCTTGCATGTTTGTCTCTTTCGCGTCGTTTCTGGGCAATTATGACGCGAAGAACAACACCATCCTTCTACGACTTCTAGAACTTTCGTGACATTGAACATCAAAGACGTTTCATCGAGTTTGACGCCAACGCATCCTGCATAACGCATGAATCACGCTGACCGCGCCGACCACGCCAATAGATACACGAGGCTCAAGTGGTCTCAAATTGCAATGGCTTTGGCCACTCCGGATATATGAAAAGTCGTTGAGTGGGGCAGAGTGGATCAACTCATGACAATCATGAAAAAAGACAAAATGGACGTGAGCATGTGAACGCGTCCTACTTCCTCCCCTTTTCGATGTGTTTCCGCGGGTCGACGGGCGTGGAAGCACGAAAGTTGGTCTTGCCTGCCTGCGTCTTTCGGGAAGTCAACGATCGAGAATTTACTTCACGCTTGGTCCGTAGAACACGATCAGGCATTAGTCACCGCAAGTCTCGTTCGGTGTGCTCAAGTCAAGACGAAGCGTGGACCGAGATGAGACTTAGCGTCGCGCGTCCAAGCATGCACAAGCCATGCAGCCAGACCCTGTCATGCCTCCACATCTTTTAGGTCGTGGTGACTAAACTGCAAAGGTCAAGCATTCGGACCACTTTGCTCAACTAATACCACTTCCATCAGCGACTCTGAACAGAGCGTGATTCTTAGGTGGCATCAAGAGCTCGACATGTCTTCGGGTGCCGCGCTCGACTCGATCCTGAGGCGAGAGTGTTCTCACATCGGCAAGTCGTTCGAGCATTCTGGCGCGTCTCGGTTCATCGCCAGGCCGAGCGGGAGGTCGCTTTTCGCCAAGCTCGACGATCATGTGGAGCAGACGTTGGGCGAGGCTCATAGTCTCATAGCTATGCATAAAGCTCAGTCGGGAAGCAGTGGTGAGCCAGCAGCAACACTGTCTCCGCAAGTGCACGCCTTCGGCAAGACACAAGACGGCAACCGGGCCTACTTGGTGACGGACTACCTGGATCTCAAACCTTCTCTCGGCAGGGACGCACAGAAGGCGTTGGGACGAAGGCTGGCAGAAATGCACAAACATGGCAGTGAGGACGGACGGTTTGGATTCCACGCCGCCACTTATTGCGGGGTCACTGTGGGTATCGACACCGTCATGCAGGATCGAATCAGGAGCTACCGGCATGCTGACTCGCCTGATCCTTGGGACACCATCGCAGCGCCAGGACAACACCTGGGAAGCCTCTTGGCCCACATTCTGGGCCGAACGTCGCATCGGAGACCTCGTCAATCGGATCCATGCGTCACACCCGGATCCACAGCTCAGGAAGCTGGAAGAGCAGATGCGGGACAGGTGAGTGAAGGGCAGACTGGTACCGTGCGTGCGGCACTGCTGAGCCTAGGTCTCCCCCGCTACACAGAGTCTATCCTGTGCTGCTCGCGCCACTCGAGGGAAAGATCAAGCCTTGTATACTGCACGGAGATCTTTGGTGCGTATTGCGAGATGGCTCCAAGCCACACGACGCCGCCGGAGCGTAGAAGGAGAATGCTCATTTGTCTGCTTGACCTCCCGCCAGGTCTGGAAACGCAGGAACCGTCCTTTCTTCCGGCCAGCCGGCCATGTTTGAGTGAGTAAAAAGAAGGGCTTACTGGCGCCTGCATGGTGCTCGTGCGATTTACTGATGCGCAGCTTCCTCTGGGAATCCCTTCCACCGAACCCACGGAAACAGCCCGTAAGCCCTACTTGCATTGGACCATCGAGGCGGCCTTCGAATGCGTTGATATGGACTGACACGCTCTTCCGCGTTCCAAAGCTCTAGCTACTACGGTCATAACGAAGCCGAGTGAGTTTCTCCTGGTCATGTCACGGCGTGGTGCGTCGACGAGCTGACAAGCGGACCTGCAAGGCTCGGAATCATGCACATGTTTGGAGGCTTCACACAGGACTTTTTCGACGCGTACCACGAGGTCATGCCCAAGACAGAGCCCTACTACGACCAAAGGGTTCGGCTCTACGAGCTCTACCATCAGTGAGTCCATTTTGCATTCCCAGCCCGCTCGCTGAATCTTGCCCTACCGTCCATGGTTTGACTCGTGACTGACCATCTGCCTCCTCTCAATCTCGGCGCTTGTGTCTCTCCAGCCTGAACCGTGAGTCTGGCATCGCTGGCTGGGTGACGATCGCACGTTCAACACTCATGGTCACACTCTTTTGAAGGTTTGGTCACGCCCTGACTGGATGCGATTGCTGCTGCTGCTTCTGCTTGTTTCCGTACAGATACGCTCATGTTCCAGGGCGGCTACCGGTCGGGCGCCGTTGCGATCATGAAATCACTCATCGACTTCTGCGACGGCAAATCATCCGCAGAGTGATTGCGCGGACCCGACGTATCTGGCCTCTAACCTAGGCGAAGCCAAAGCCCTCGCCACCCTCGTTCATTGCGGTCAAGAGGGACGAGCGCAGCTTTTCGTACGAGTCGTACTGTGGCAGGTCGAGCTGGTTGAAGCACGTATGCGCCGCTGGCAGTCTGTCGGCGCCGTACGCCTTGTGAATGTTGAAGCGTTGCGTGCCCTGGACACCCTGCAGATGTGCGAAGCCTTCGAGAGGGACCTTGCTGGTACCGGTGATGAATTGCAAAAGTTTGGCCTTTTCGGTCTGGTCGAAGGAGCGTACGGCGCGCCACCACCACTGGATGACGGCGTCGCCGGAGCCGTATCCGTGCAGCTCCGTGTTGTTCTTCCAGGCGTCGACGTCGATGTCGGGCAAGCCGGAGATGAGTAGCTCGAGCTCCTGCTCGGAAAAGATGCGGATAAGGTCGGCGGGAATGATCTCGTTGAAGCCAGTGAGGAAGGCGTCGATCTGCGATTGGATCGACTTTGTGAGCCTCTGCTCGGTGACGAGACGGACGTATTCCTGCTTGTTTGACTCTGTGACGGCGACGTTGGCTCCGTTAGGCTTGAGTTCGATGACCTTTGTCTCGCCGAACTCTTCATCGTCGACGCTGAAGGTGAGGTCGAGAATGTCGGTGATGTCGTTGTTGAGCATCCACTCGAGACTCTTGAAGTACTCTGGATCGATGGACTCGAGGTCGCGGTAGTCGACGGGCTTGGCGAGGATGTGCTTGTAGAAGCTGCGGGTGAAGTAGGCGTCGAGCAACCTGCCGTCGTAGATGGCCTTGCCGATGATGCGACCGACAAACTTGAAGAAGGAGAGATGGTCGGGGTTGACGTAGGACATGCGATTGGGCTGGTAGGTGGTGCGATCGGCTGCGCACGGTTGGAAGAGCGCATAGTCTGGGTTGAACATGGCTCTTGCCAGGACCTGGAACCACTCTCTGGTGACGCCGCCTGCGTCGATGCCTTCTTCGTTGTTGAAGCGCACGTTGAGCTTGCCGTGCTTGACTTCGGGGCCGTTCTTGCGCGAAAAGTAGCGGAAGCTATCCTCGAATACGGAGTTTCTGCGTACGGACAGCGAGAGAGGAGTATAGTGATCGCGTCGCCCCTTGTGGAGCTGCTGTGTGAAGTAGTTTTTCTTGTTGTCAAAGTCGAGCACCTTTGGATTGCGCACGAGCAGCGCAAAGGATCCGGACATGAGCGATGGATTCTGTCGCACCATGATGTTGAGGATCTTGCGGTGCTTTTCGGTGAATGCGAAGAAGTGATCCTCCATCGCTTCTCGGGGCGACTTTGAGCCGCTTTCGGTCGAGGAGCGGCTGCGGGGCGGCCTTGGCTCGGTGGATGCGCCGGGGCTATCTGGGTCCGGGTTGGCGACGTGCTGGGAAACGACCATCATGCTCTCGATGAGAGGCAGTAGGATCTGGGCGGCACCGGGGTCGTTCTTCATCCGGGAAAGCACGCTGCTGAGCTTGGACCACAGCGTGTCGAACTCGAAGGATTCATAGATCTTGGCGAGCTTTGCTTCGTCCTCCTCTCTCTTCTTCTTTTGCGACTCTGTGGTGGAAGGGTCGGGTTTCCTGCGCGAGCTTGCGCCAGGATCTGATGCCAGGCGGTCCCCGTCGTCGAGGAAGCTATTCAACTGAACGGCAATGTTGCCGAAATTCGACGGCAGTCGCAGTTGCTGCAGGTGATCCCCGAGTCGAAACTGGCCATCGCGATAGGCGGCTATTTCGGGAAGCGGCGGATGGTTCTCGGATGGCTCCGGCATGGCGTTTGGCAAGTGCACGTGAGGCTTGCTTCAGGCTCGTAAGGGTCGTCTTGTGCACACGGCAAGTCCGGCGGCGCCAGGCTCGATGCTGACACGAGTCGTTGCGGCGTAGTCGCTGGCTGTGGATGACGCCAAAGCCTGCTGCAGACAGGCTGAGAAGATGAAGGATGCGTAAACGATGGTGAACGAGTCGTAAGTGATGTGAGCGTCGAGATGGGATGGAAGATGAGAGTGCGGCCCGAGTGGTTATACGCGGGTGCTCTTGCTCAAAAGTTCAACACTACTCACTCGCCTTCGCCAGTCGCTTGGTTGCAAAGTGGAGCTCTCGAGCCCGACAACGCGAAAGCTGCGGAATCGGAGCGAATCCGATGTCCGATTCCCCCGATCCTCATCAAGTAGGCTGGTGCTGCTGCTGCTGCTCGCCTCCACGCAGCAATTTGCGACTCAGCTTTCAGATTGGAGTGACTGTTGCGCTGCATGCCGGCCCCGCATGAGCCATCCCCCACACGATCAACGACCTCATTAAGGGCATCATCCGACTTGCCTCACCATTTCCACTTGCCTCTTCCCCCAACAGCATCCGAGAGGAAGGAAAGGCCGACCTCCCTGCGTCATTTGGAATCACATTCGACATGAGGATCGCCACGAAGCGACTGTCCAAAGAGCTGTAGGTTGCCAACTCCGATCCCCATGACAAAGTGAGAAGAGCGGCTGACACGTTTGGTTTGAACTCGCAAAGGTCTGATCTCAGGGTCAAGGGCCTTCCCGAGGGCTTTTCGATCATCAAGGCGGACGACTTTCAGGAGTGGCAGTTCTCGATAGAGGTGCTTGGCAACAGCCTGTATCAGGGCGACAGGTTTGCGCTCCGATTCCGCTTCTCAGATACGTACCCCATGGAAAGCCCCGAGGTGGTGTTCATGGTCACAGACGGATACAAGGCGCCCGTGGTAAGTCGCCGATCCCGCAACTAGCAGGCTGAGGATGTATGCTGATTCTCTCATCTCGTGCGGAACAGCATCCACACGTGTACAGCAACGGCCATATCTGCGCTTCGATCCTGGGCAGCGAATGGTCGCCGGTACTCAACGTCAGCTCGGTGCTGCTCACGCTGCAAAGCATGCTCGCAAGCTGCAAACAGCTCCAGACTCCGCCAGACAACGACGCGTACGTCAAGCGTGCACCGCTCTCGCCCAAGGATAGCCGATTCGTCTACGACGACGACACAGTGTAGTCGCAAGATCGGGCGCATAGTAATGGACGCAGTGTAGGGCCGCCACGTCGATCGTGATTTGGATGTGAACTTTGCATTGCTGTGATTGGCTTGGCAGGCCGACCGGATCATTCGAGCCAGTGGGACGCACTACTAGGGCTGGGGTGTGCGACCGAAGAAAGCCTTTTGCTCGCCGCAGACGGCGTTGACGCAGCCGGGACACCTGAGCAGCATCTGCTTGCTGGTGTAGCCCTGGGTCCAGACGTCTTCGCCGCGCCTGTCGTTGTTCCTGTTGGGCGTGCCCTCGACGTTGGAGAGGTGCGATGCGCAGATCTCGGCCATGGCGCGGATGAAGGTGGGTTCGTCGTTGAGCGACTCTGCGCGCTTGAGCGTGATGCCGTGCTCCTCGGCTTCCTCCTGCAGCTCAATGTCGATCTCGTAGAGCGTCTCGATGTGGTCGCTGGTGAAGGCGATGGGCACGACGATGGCGTCCTTGTGGCCCTGCTTTGCCCAGCCCTTGATGGTGTCGCTGGTCTGCGGGCCGAGCCAAGCGGCGGGACCCACCTGCGACTGCCATGTGACTCGGTAAGGGTTGCTCCACTTGAGCCGCGTCATGACGGCAGCCACGGTCGCCGCCACCTCGGCCGGGTAGGGGTCACCGCGGCCCGAGACGATCTGCATGGGCAGCGAATGCGCGCTGAACATGATGGGCACCTTGTGGCGCTTGTCCTCCGGATACGTGTCGAGCACGGCCTGAATGCGGTTGGTGAATGCCTCGACGAGCAGAGGGTGTGTGGGCCATCGGTCGATGAGCGACCACGAGATGTCGCCTTCAGGAGCACCGCGCTCTTTGCGCCTCTGGATCTCGCGGTAGAGCTCGTTGAGGTTGCTGCCGGTGGTGCTGCAGCTGTACTGCGGGTACTGTGTGAAGCCGACGGCACGGGTGACGCCGTCCTCTGCCATCTCGTCGAGCGCCTCTTCGGTGAGCGGGCGGGCGTAGCGGAAGGCGACATAGACCTTGTGGGGCGCGGTCTCTGGGTGGAGTTGGTCGAGCAGCTCGGTCATGGCCTTTCCCTGCGTCCTAGTCCAGCGCAGGATGGGCGAGCCTCCGCCGATCTTGTTATACTGGTCGACGATCTTGGGCGTCCTCCTGCGTGCGATGAGTGGGGCGAGGCGCGACTGAAAAGGGAGCTGGATGAGCTCGCGGTCGTGAAAGAGACGCGAGAGAAAGTCGCCGACCTCCTCGGTGGTGGAAGTGGAGGGACCACCCATGTTCATGAGCAGGATGCCCGTGGGAGGCTTTGCTGCCTTGGTCGCATGGCTGGCCAGGCTTCGGTGCAGAGAGGCGGGTCGTGCGAGCTTGAAGGAGGTGGAGGCGTCGACGAGACCCGCACGGCCGGCGGTTGCGAGCATACCTGTCCTTGATGCACTCGAAAGCATGCTGCCACGGGTGAAGCGGGGATGGTGTTGAGCGAAGGTCGAGCGAGGGTCGATACGTCGTGGCGGGATGCCAAGTGTTGATTGGGAGCTGCTTGGAACGATGGGCCGCCTGGATCGGAAGCGGTGGGTCGGAATTTCGGCTTCGAGAGCTTCCAAACTGGCGCGAAGCTGCCAAATCGCGTAATCCGCTGCAGCTCAGCGGATGCGCCGACCTGAAATGAAAGCGCACCAAACTCGGAATTCGGACATGTGCGCCGCCCTGGCACCACCGAAGCAGCATTCCTGGCCGCAAGACCCACAAGGCGGTGTGTGCAAGTCATTGGCGATGTTCATAGTACGAGTGCTTCGAATCAAGAGCTCACTGAGCATCCATGGGTGCGCAAGTTGCGGTAGCTCACATTTGCCAGCCGTCAAGCTGGAGAAGAGTCCACGGGCGAATATGCAGTCATAAGGTCTTAAGTTTGCTTGCAGACGCCGGCCTAGGAGGGTTGGGGGTATGGTACAGGGGTGCGAGGCATACATAGCAACGTGGGGTCGTTCGAAGTAGGTCGTAAGGCTTCAAAGTCGCTTTAGTGCTTGACGACGATGGGGACTGCGCGCGTGGACGAAGAAGAAAATCGGGTCAGCAAAGGGGATCCGCATGGCATGGACATGGCTGTGAAATGGAACTTACTGATGATGACGCAGAGAAGGATAACAATGCCGACTGTTGCGATGATGGAGGACGGGTCGGAGGAAGGGCAGTTAGCAAGCTGCGTGCGTCCAGGGCGAGTTG